TTCATGATCAATGATTCTATTGTATTACAAGTCATTACCATAAAGTACAATGGGACAAAAACCTTAGCCCAAGCCCCACACTTGAAAAACACTAATACAGCAAATACCGGATAGAAGTAAGATACGATATACTGAAACTGTGAGATCAAGAGGAACAACCTTGAGAGCCAATAAATCAACATTGTGATGAATGACTATTAATCCGGACAGATCTGTCATTATCTCAACCCCTCATGCCCCACGTTGGGCACCAAGGGTTGTCAGGCCTTACCTGACTTGTTTCTGGAGAGCCTCAGAAAGCAATGAGTATCAATAGTGTGTTAATGATACAGCTTTACTCATTTTGTGATGAGTTGTCTGAACAAAGCAAAGTTAATTTTTATGACTTCTCTGTTTTCTCTTGTTGGCTCTTTCACAAGGACTGGGAAGTCACCTTCCATTGTTGAACAAGAAACAAAGGCATTGCAAGATTAATGACTTGCAGCAAGTTTTTCAGTTCCTATCACATATATGTAACAGTTTGAATAGCTGCTGCACATGCAGTTCGGTAGAGTAACTTTGAACGGAGTTATACTGAACCTTGTTTTCCCAGGAGATTTCCAGCTCCCTCTTCTTCTGCAGCAGAACACTGGAGTAGATGCACCAAGGTGGGGGCTAGTGGAGCTTCCATCAGTGTAAGAGCAGACTGAACTGTCAGGAACAGTATATGCACAATGAAGCCTTCTTAGGGTCAGAGAATGAAGCAAATCAGTATTTCTCAGCCTGTGGACTTTACACTGCTGGCAGTCAGTAAGAAAGCAGTGGGCGGTCCATGAAACAAGCACAAAGGCTCAGCAACCATAAAATGGATGCGCACGGCCTTATATCAGCAAACAAAATAAGAGGAAAATGAAGTTACTAAATGAACATCTGAGGTTAAGCTTCATTGTTTGGTTGGTCATTTATGGAAACCATTGTGCCAATGATTTTATTTTTTTTTTTATTTTCCTCATAACATTGAGATGATTCTTAGTGTGTAAAAAAAATTGCTGCAGTGGTTTTTTGGTTAAATTGTAAGAAAAAGGGAGAGGATGAACTCTCAAGATTGATATCAACTCTGCTTTTTTATGATCCTATGCCCTTCCCTGTGATTTTGTGACTTCTAATCTCTGCTTTAGCATTTTTGCCACTACTCACAGTTCTCTTTTTTCCCATCAAAAAAAATCAAACAACAAAAAAGGGTAAGTTGCAGGTGCAGCAAAATACTCTCAGAAAAATAAACTTTTTCCATCTCTCAGCCTATGAGGGTAATTTGGCTTGCCTGTACAGAATGATAGATCCACCATTTCCAGGCTTGTCTTTTTTTCTGTTAGCGCTCACTGTTCCATCTCCATATCCCTTAATACCACACCTTCTTCCTCTAATTTGCTGCTCTGCAAGCTCTGAGCTGCCTGCCCTCTTTGTGCCACTAACACTTTGGATTCTTTCTCTACTTTCTCTCTCCTTGGCCAGTTTGTTCTTGCATTTTCTTATTTTTTTTTGTCCCCGTTCTCCTCTGCATAAAGGTACCTTTTCTGCTTTTAGAGTAATGACATTAGCAGAGCTGATGGAAATTTAGGTGAATTAATTCTCTGAGCATTACGCTGTTCAATGGATACGTTACTCAGTGCACATTAGCACGCAGACCTCACTGAATGACAGAAATGATTATTTGAAGACTATATTCAACAACAGTATCATTATTCAAACAGTTCACTCAGCAAATTACACTCAGTACACTCAAATTAATGGTGCATTCAGGTTGCTCTCTTTGCTCAGCACAGCACACGTGTAGCCTTAAGGGTTGAAACTGAGTCGCTGAAATGTCTGAGGGAAATAGGGGTGTGGAGGCTTTTCTGGTCATTTGTGTCTCTAGTGAGCAAGACAGAGTGTGTGTGTGTATGTGTGGTTGGTAGTGGGGTGTTTAAGTCACATCTAGGGAATAACTGATGTATGTGAGGAGGAAGAGAGATTACCTGATCTTTTTCCTGCTGGTAGCAGAAGCAGCACAGGCCCTTGTTTTCACACGTATCCCTAGTACTTCAGCTAGAAATCAGTACAACAAATGAATGTATCTCTGATCTTCAGCTTTTGTCCAAGTTGAGGTGTATGTGTGTGGGAGCAGGGAGTTGAAGTAAATCTAACATCAAATCCATGCTCTTCACTTCTTACTCCATTCAAATTTTTCTTGAGCACTTGGAGCAAATAATCTTTCTTTTACTGTTTAAGACTTTCTGATGCCTCTTTTGTAATTTCCAATACAGGCTAAGTTTTTTTTTGTGGTCTTTATGTCCACTGTGCCAAATAGATACCCCTTTCACCTGTGTGTTGCATTTTTAAACCTTTGAGTCATTTCACTGTTAGGCTCAACATTGGCCATTACCCTGATGCAACTTGATGTAATCTACATTTTCCACAATCCACTCAATTGCTTTAGCCAGCTTCCCTTCCTGACTCTCTTTGATTCATTCTGCACAAAACACATCTCCTCTGAATGCAAAGCTTGAGATCTCCCTTTGGCTTCAAGGATGTGGATCACACTTTCTCCTCTCTTGTCATTATGTTAGTCAGAATATAATTTTGCTGAAGTGCCATGCCCTGACACTGCTCTTGGCATCTGCTTCCATGTGTACTGCTGCTTCTAAAAATGTTACAAAACTTCATACCACTGTCATCTGTTTCTTACTGCTCAGTTGTGTGCTTACTTGAAGATTTCTCTTTTTTGTCCTCTGAATCCTCACCTTGCTCTGAACTTCATACAGCCCATATAATGTCTTTGTCTTCTCTAGCCTCAGCTAATTTAACTTTTCATTAGTCTGTACTTGTGCTGTGCCATGAGGGCAATTTTCTCAACTTGTTGAGTAACTCCACATCTTTGAAATCCATTTTTTTTTCTTGTATCATATGTTCTTTGCAATTCTTCAGTGAATTAATTGCATTTTCAAAGTTCAGTCTTCATTAATCTGGGTGACATTTACTCTAATAGCCTTTATATGGCACATCTTGCATATCTGTCCTGACTTGTTCAGCTGGAAGCTCAGAACTGGTGAAACTCTAGTCATGGACTGATAGATGATATTAGGCTTTTTACATTAGAAAGGGATGGTGCAGATCTTATGGCCATTAGCAAAAGCCCACTCACAGCAGTGCTTTTTTCCTATGGAATAACAATATTCAGTCTTCCCTTCTCCTGTGATTGTGAATCCTAGTAAAGGCCTTTTGAGGTTTTCCTTCAAATCTCCTCCAGAGGTCAGCTCATCCACAAGGTGCATTCACACGTGTTAATACACATGCTCACTGATGAGAATGTTTTGTTTCCTTGTCTGTACTTTATTACATAGCAGTAATATTCTAAGTAAAATGCTTTGCTATTCAGCTCCTTTGAGACTGATATATTGACTTATCTAGAAAGCATTAAAGCCGTAGTGCTGATGTCTTGAAGAGCTTTATTTAAACTCCTGCTTGAGCTCTGATTGCAGACATGGAGGACAGAAATAGTTCTTTAATGACAAAGTCACCACCCTGCAAAACGTATTTAAAAGCATATAAACATATGCCTGATAGAATATAAGCCAACTGATATTTCCATTATTCTTTTTTACCTGCAGCATAAAGGAGTAGCTTGGTAACCATTCTTTGTGAAAACATCTTTTTTTCAACATCCTTCAACATCCGTATAGATCAGCGAAATACTCATTTCTGCAGCTGTCCCTCAGCTCTTCAAGTAAGTCAACAGCTCTAATGGTAGCAAAGCAGGAATACTCAAACAGGCAAATGACCTTGCTTTCTGGCAGAATTCTGGCCATAGGCAGAAGTCATGATGGGCTGCAAAATCAAGGGACAGCAAAAGAAGTACTGAGCTTTCCGTCTCTGTTGACCTTTGTGGTGCTGTGGCCTGTTTGCTACTTGTGCTCAGACTTCCCAGTTGAATTTGCTCATCCTTCAGTGCCAGCTGCAGCTACAACAGCAGCAGTGGGATTTGCATGTGCCACTGCAGCCTCAAAGGGGTACATTTTCTCTCCTGCTAGGCAGAACTTGCAGGAGGAGTAGATGGGATGAGGAAGTTAAAAGAAGACACAAATCTGGAATCTCAGATCCACAAATCTGGATCTCAGATTTCCCTCCTCATGTCTCCCAGCCATTCTGTGTCCTGGGAAGACATCTACTTTTTGTTCTTAGAAAACAAAGGAGCTTCATATCCTCAAAGATCCACATAGACCTTCAGTGTGGGGCCTGGTGGGAAGGTGACTGTATGCTCTTGGTGATTATGTCAGGGCTTTTTTTGACTTTGAGGGGAGTCTGACTACTGGTGGCTCCTTAGACTGCTTTTCCAAAAGAAGTGTTGCAGAATTAGGACAGAGGAAGATTTGTATGGAAAAGAAACTATTAAAAAAATAATTTTTTTTTAAGGAAATCTTAGTGCACTTCTTGCACGATAAGAAATACAATAAATCCAGTGAAACAGAACAGGATTTAAAATACTGCACAAGTTTACTGGGAAGTTAGACCACAGGCAAAAAAAAAAACATTTGCATTTTGGTAGTCAACCTTTTGTGGGACACGTGGCTCCTATACTGAAATTTGAAAGTGAAATCTGATTTGGCTTTGCATAGTATTTTGAATAACTACAGAGCTAAGCTGAGTGTACCTCAGTGGTAGAATGCTAGCCTGAACTTGCTGGAGAAATCTCTACCTGATGCTCAGGAGACCCGCAGGAAGAACAGACATTTACTCGCAGAGGACAGTTTAATAGAATGATTAGGCTTCAGCCTGATAGACAAAATCTGTTTTAACAGCAAATGAGGTTTGTGCAATAGCCTCAGAAGGTTCAAATTATCAGAATTAAGAGTAGTTTGTTGTTGTTGGTTTCCTTTTTAAAAGCTTAATCATTCTAAATTGCTTCAGCTGCTGCTTATGTTTCACCTTGAATGAACATCTCATTTTTCTTTGCCCAAGAGGAAGTGTCTCTCTGATCTTGTGTTTCTTCAGTACAGCATTTCCTTCTTTCCTTGAGGAGAAAAGTGACCTGGGGTTTCCTACGTGATCTGTTGAGTGGAGTGAATAAATATTCAACAGGAATTGGAAGAATTTGGGTAGCAGTTGTGTTCATATTCCGCTTACTGGTTTACGTTGCAGCTGCAGAAAACATCTGGAAACATGAACATGATGAATTTGAATGCAATATCAAGCAGCCTGGTTGCGAGAATGTTTGCTTTGACCATTTTTTCCCTGTCTCCCACATCAGACTTTGGGCTTTGCAATTTATCATGGTCTCCACCCCTTCACTCTTGGTTGTTTTTCATATTGCTTACCGAGACAACAGAGAGAGAAATGCCACAACCAGAAACTTTATAAAAGCGCAGGAGAGAGAGATGGTGGATTGCTGTGCACTTACCTTGTCAGCCTTATCTTAAAAACAGGATTTGAAATAGTTTTTCTTGTTCTGTTTTATAAATTGTACAATGGATTCGAAGTACCACGTCTTGTGAAATGTGACATAAGACTGTGTCCCAATACTGTAGACTGCTGTATTTCCAAACCTACAGAGAAGATGATTTTCCTCTATTTTCTGGTGGCAACTTCCTGCCTGTGCATTGTATTAAATGTAAGTGAATTAAGTTACCTCATTTTCAAATCCTCTGTAAAATGCTATCTGAAGATATACATAAAGAAACATCAAGACTCAGAAAGTGATTGCCACAAATCAGAAACCATCATTCACAACACAGCAACAGCTGCAGGATGGTTCCATGACAGCTCCCTGTCCCTGCCTCTGAATATGCAAGATGAATGTGAAAAAAATTCCCTGTCAACTTGAAAGAAGGCTGGAGACCACTTCCTGCTGCACAAACTGTATTTGGCCAATTGCTTTTCCAATCCGTGCTTTACAGAACTGAAGATAGATAGTTATGTAGGAAATACTTTTTGTCTTGTTAATTCCCCCTGACTTGAGAAGATAAATTCAGTCGCATTGTGCATGTCATACATAGAACCATCTAAATCTTTTCATGGTGAAACAAGTGGTATAGAAATTTGAAAACTCCATGAAGCTTCAATATAAATGCAGATGCTTATGATAAATCACACCTAAACAATTGCTCAATGAGCTGTGTTTTGAATATTACACAGGATTGCTTTGGTACAAGCAAAAAGAGGCTTTTTATATGGAGAGTTGGAAGAACTTGGGATTGATGAAGATGCTGAACAGTAAGAGGATGTACAGCATTGGTTGAGTGGATGGCTCTGACAACAGTTGAAATAGTGAGTATAAGGCGTTGGCATATGATGGCTGCTGGTGTGTGGAAGTGAGCTGGGTGGGCACAAGCCCATTCCACTGGACTACTGTAAAACATCCTAAAATAAAAAGAAAGAAAATAAGAAGTGGCAGACACATCTAGTTTAGCCCATGGTGATGAAGACAGGCCTGGTTATTAAGCTATTTATGGAGAATTTCCTTCTGAAGGTATTTGAGCCCTTTACAGTTTTTAGGGCATTTATCATCAGAGCATGTACTGTAAGAAAAGGTACTTGCTCAAACTTGTGCAGGCAACGTGTACCAGAGTTAACTCCTGGTCACCTGCACCAAGGATCTTCTCAGTAATTTGACTTTTCTTCTGCTCCGTGGCTGTGGCATTTAATGGAAAAAGATCATTCCCAGTTCCCCAGGATCCGAGTGGTGAAATAGCCTGCACAACATGGCAAGCCAGTAGTCCTGGCATTCAGTAGCAATGTCTTCTAGGATCTAGTCTTCTGTTGAACCCAGACTTCTGAGATGATAGAAATTGGCACCTAAAAAGACATACTTCAGGGTAGCTGAAATACATTTCCGTTGCTGGAATGAAAGACCTCTGGACATACCTCAGTACTGAGTCTGATCAAAATACACCTTTTAGAGAAAAACACCGTCTGCTGTAAGCAGAGCCGCCTTAACGCTGAATTGATGTTACTGTTCATGCCTTAACGCTGAACTAATGTTACTGTTCAGCCAGGATAAAGAGAAGGAAACAGTAGCAGATGAATGTCAACTAGTTATTTTTTTCACTCAACGCCTCCCATCTTTGCTTAGGAAGCATTACTTTTATGAGTCCTGGTGTAGCAGTTAATTCAGTTAAGAACTAATGAATAAACTATGCACTTTTTTTTTTATTCCTCCCCCCCTCCCCCCAAATAAACCTGCTTTTACAAAAGGTAAAAATACTTTTGCTGCTCCTAAGCTTGACAGTCGCAGCCTCAGGTACCAGCTTGCCAGCTTGTGGCCAGTTAAAGTTTTACATCTCGAGTGATGCTCAGTCAGCATGCATATGGAGACTGTGCTTTACAGCACTCAGAACATGTTCTGTTAAATCTCTAGTAGACAGAATATGGCTCATGGCAGAAATACCACTAGAAACTCTTGTGCAGTGACTGGACAGCCCCCCCCAAGAAGCATATGAAGCAAAGCCACTGCCCCGCAACCCTGTATAACTGGGACAGCCACAGGTGGAGAATAAACCCCAAATTATCTTGGCCTTTTTTTGTATCCTAATGCCTCATTTTTTAAAACAAGGGCAACACTATCAAAGTAAAAAATGCTTCCATAGTGACTGCTTTTTTTCATTATTGAGGACAGATTTTAAGACAGCACATGAATGAAAAAGTATTCAGTCATTTTTTTAAAAAAACCCAAGGTTTATTTGAGAGAAAACAGAAGCAAACAGTTTAGCCAACACAGGTTTCTGATTAAATTTGTGCATTAGCTGCTAATATTGAAGTTTACTAAGTCAGGGCTTGAAGGGTTTTACAGCATCCCCTAAAGCTCTTGTGGCTGGTGGAGCTTCTTGCTCGGTCCCCAGATAATCCTGTAAAACAAGAACTTTAATTCTTTGGAATGTATATTCAAGGTTTTATTTCTGTCTTCAACAGCCATGAAATGATAAATAAATTCCAAAAATCAACATTTCAAGTCTTGGATGAGACTGACAAAACCAGCATCTTACATGAGAAATAGTCTGAAAAATTATTATGGACTAAATCTGTGTGATGCCGACTTACCCATAGAAACCAAGCGGCGTGTCCTGCAAAATCAGGGTGTTTGATAGAGCTACTAAAGAAATAAGCATCACACAAGGTGGCTCTGCCAGACATTATTTAACCTGAGAGAACAGAAACACACTCACCTACTTTCTGAGCCCTTGCTCTTGTCCAGCGTTTGATCTTCTAATGGCTCTTTCCCTTCCACAGCCTCTTCCCTGCCTTTATACTCCTTTGTGCTCCACTTTCACTCACCCATCCATCCCTGAAGTTGTTTGCTCTGAAGTTTTTGGTTCAAATGAGTTTGTAGCCTCGGTCCCTAGCCTAAAGTTTTAAGGGCCTTTTTGTGTATTCATATTCCAAATCAATTAAGAATTAAAAATCAATTCAAGTGCTATTCAAAGTGTGAAAGCACAGTCTCCTCAAGCACATAGCAATTGGCAGGAAACTGATCTAAGCCCATGCAATTGCTCCATGCTCATTCATATTTCAAAACATTTCTGCAAACATTAAAAGATCCAAGTCTTACACGGATTCAGAATCATAGAATCATAGACTGGTTTGGGTTGGAAAGGACTGTCCTCTATCTAGTTCCAACCCCTTGCCATGGCAGGGACGCCTCACACTAGATCATGTCACTTAAGGCTCTGTCCAACCTGGCCTTGAGCACTGCCAGGGATGGAGCACTTACTTACCAGTTCTTTGGGCAACCTATTCCAGTGCCTCACCACCCTCACAGTGAAAAACCACTTCCTTTTATCTAACCTGAACTCCCCGTTTAAGTAATCTCCTTGCTCTCTGACAGAAAAAAAATATTTCCCCATTTGCTGGCTGTTTCTTCCCTCCATTTCCATCTCCACCACCTCGAGCCCCATTTCCCACCCCTTCACCAGATCCTCTTCTCCACACAAAGGCTCCAGCCAGGGGTGAGCAAGACAAAACCAGGAGCTTCTCTAGCCTGTGAGGGGGCTAAACCTGGGGATATAGCTTGTCTCTGCCCACACAGGTGAGAGCCCCAACCAATTCTTTGTCATAGGAACTAATTGTAAGAATATATCCAACTACTTTTCCTCACCTGGACCGATGACTTGTTTGCAGTGTTACAAGCATCGCTCCCTCACTGTCCAACAGCCACAGGCAGGACATCCCAGCAGAATGCTCTAGGACCAACAGTCCCCACCATCCTGCTAAGAATGACCACCCCAAAACATGTGAGGGCAAACCCACTGCTTTTACACTGACTCAGGGCTCAGAAAACATCAGACTTCTTTATAAACAGAGTTAACCAGAAGAGAGGCTGACTGCTAGTTTAGAGGTGTCTTTCAATCACAAACCTATTGTGTTCTGTGCTCTGCATCCAGACTCCCCGAATTAGTCACTTCCCCATCAGTGAAACTACTGGTTTAGTCATCACATTCCCGATGGTGACAAGGGGTTTAAAAGAAAGCACCTTTGCTCAGTGGCACCACAGTTCATGGGTGATATGTCTGGAAGATGGAGACAGAGAGGAGGGAGAGGAGAAAGGCTGGGTGGCAAAGCAGGGGTATGGTTCCGAACTCTGGAGGAGCTGTCACTTCAGGCACACTGCCGCAGCTGTACTGGGATGTTTTATACATCACTCGAGGTAAAATATATAAATGCAAATACCAAATTTATTTCCTCAGGAACCTCTGTAGGTGGCTTTACCAAACTACAGTGCTCTCTGCAGTACACGGTAGCTTAAATCAGACCCTACCTTTAGTCCCCCACTTCAACATGCTTTTTTAAAACCCTACCATACTGGCTTACTTTTTAGACAGGTTGTCAGTACCCACTTAAAAGGGAGTGTGCTGTGCAGGGCACTGACTCTACTGGTGCAGCACCCTCTTTAATTAATTGGGATAAGAATGAGACAATAGTAAAAATTTTATTCTCAGAAATTCAGACCCAAGTTAGAAATGATTTCCTGGATATTTATAACATTGGAATTCCCCCCCCCCCCCCCCCCCTTTTTTTAATAGCATTCTAGTATAGCACCATGTAGCTAAATAGTAGTATGCTGTTTTCAGCCTAAAACCTGCAACTGATACAGTACCTATCATTGAGAATGTCAATGTTGAAACTATTTTATTTACACAACATAAAGTTCTAAAAAAAAATGTGAGGTCTGTCAACAGTGACTGCAGTGGCTTCGTATCTCTCTGAAACCAAGAGATTTGGGGCAAGCTGTGTGGATCCTCTCCAGAGGAGCTCCTCTGCTCTTTTCTTCACAGAATACAATCACAGAAGATTCACCTTCCTGCAGAAGAGATCTCCCCTGCAGCCTGTACCAGACAGCAACTCCATCCAGGGAGACTACGTGGTCTCTCATAGGTAAAACATGACATCATGCACTTATAACAATCTCTCATAGAGTTAAACCACAAGGATTTGGTGTGGTTTTACCCCTCAGACTGCACCTTTGATTCACTCATTTGGCAGAATTACCAGTGCTAGCCCCTCCGGAGGGACTGGAAGTGAGAGAAGCAAATGGGCTCTGTTCAAATTGAAGCACAGGCTTTCTGTGAAGGTATGCAATTTAGCACCAGACAGCAAACCAAGGGCTATGCCAAGTTGAAATGCTGTTGCCTTTCTGCTTTTTCACACATAATCCTCACCCTCATGACAAGTCACTTCATTTGGTTGTAGGAATGTGCCCTCTGCATTCAAGTAAACTGCCAAAGATTCCCGGTGAATAGCTTGAGAGCAATCAAGTGTAGCATTTAATGCAAAGCTTCACATGGCAAGACAAGTTTATAGGGGAAAAAAAAAAAAAAAAAAAAAAAATCAAGCCAATCTCTCCCAAGATAGACTATTTTATATTACTGAAGGTAGGTCACATCCAATATGAGAAGAATCCAAGCAAAATTTTTGGTACCACACAATCCAGATGGCATGTCCCATCCAAGTTAAGTACAAACACGCATGAAAACCAACCCTGAAGATTCCTGGGTACTGACAGGTCCCACCAACGCATTCATGCTTTTGGTTACTCAACAGACCGGATACCTGTCATTTCGGTTAGCAGCAGAAATATATATGGAGAAATTGCTCTGATCCTGGGCACTACACGTGGCACCGCTTCCAAGGCTCATTCCAGTGTGGAAAACGGAGAGAGGTGGCGAGAATGCTGCCAGGTACAGTCAGCAAGAGGCAGAAGAGCACGGAGGGGGCCCATGCCATCTATACAGCACACCCACCGAGTTTGTCTGTAAGATCACACTCACTTCCCTTTCAGAAAGTGCCTTATTTATTCAGTTTTTAATGGTATGGCATAAGGACTCTCGTATTTTATAGATAGATACCAAACTGGTATTATCAAAATAAACCATCTGTTTTATAAACCAATTATTTACAAAAATGGTTTCTGAAGCTTTTTGTTTTTTTTTTAACAAAAATTAAACTATACACCCATCTAAGTTACAGAAACAAAAATAAGTTTTGTAAGATCACATGTATAAAATAAGAAATGAAATGTGTTTTTATTTAAGGCAATACTGGGCTACTTCACAAATCACCACCTCAAATATAGATACTGCTCCACACTACTAATTTTCTATAACATTCACAATGGATTCTTTAATACCAAATATTGTTTTAGATCTCCAATGTAGCAAACTATTTTTATTCACATTTCAATTTTTATTACGGAATCATAAATGCTTTGTATCCAATTAAAAGCAATGAAAAATGTAGCTATAAGAAAACTATTATATTTATGTGTTAACTACATATGAGTATCACCCATAGATTCTGGATGTTATAATTTATGAAAATGAGAGGGTGTCAGTATGTTTACCTTATGAAATGTGGTTGTATCCAGCTCCTCTCCTGTAAATAAATGCTTTATGCAAAATAAAACTGGATATGGCAGACTTGGCTAATTTTAGTTTAAAAGTTCTTAATTTAAAATGACTAAAGAA